TTACATGATGACTGATATATATTGCTTTGTTCCCTTTTCAAGGCTAAACAGACCCAGTCTCTCATCATAGGGTTTGCTTTCAGTCCTCTAATCTGGCCCTCCACTTTGCCACATCTTTCTAAACTGTGGTGTCCAGAATGAACACAGTACTCAAAAGACCTAAGCAGTGCTGAGTAGAGGGGAAATAGCACTTCAGGTGATCTGGAAATAAAACTTTTATTAACACAGCATTTGCCTTTTTTGCAGCTGCATCACATTCTTGACTCCTATTTAGCTTGATCTAAAACAATCCAAAGCGCCTTCTCACTTGTAGTATTGTTGATCCAAGTATCTCCTATCTTGTAACAATGTACTTGGTTTCTTTTTCCTAGGTGCAGAACTTGGCATCTGTTCCTGCTAAACTTCATTTTTTATTTTCAGCCCAGCGCTTCAACATTTCAAAATCACTTTGAATTTTGATCATTTTCTGGAATAATAGCTATCTCACCTAATTTTGTGTCATTCATTACCTGGTTACCTCTGCATCATGCCTTACTGAAATATTTAATAGGCATTCTCTGTACTTCCTCATCCAAATCTTTAATAACAATTTGAAGTGCCCCTGGCCCAGTACTAAACCCTGTAGTACCCCACTCATTAGCTTGCTCCTTCAAGAAATTCCTGAGATGTTGCAGGTTACTTCATTCAACAGAAAGTGGAAAAGGAACTAGAAAGGTGTAATTGATTCAAAAAGGGTGCTATTGATAAGTACTCTTGAGTCCAATTCTGTAATATTTGTTCCAGCTAGCACACTTATACCTAAATAACTAGTTTGCTATCAGGATATCTTGGGGCACTTTGTCAAAAGCTTTGCTGAACTCAAAACACATTTTATATTATGTCTACAGCATTCCCACAACCCACCTTAATCAAATGTTAGTCAGTCGGAATTTTTCCTTAACAAATCTATGATGGCTTCTATCAATCAGTGCATTGTTTTCAAGATGTTTGCAGGTTCATTGTTTTATAAGTTTTGTTTCAGAATTTTCACAGAAATTGGTATCAGATGTAATGGTCTGTAGTTTCCAGGGTCTTCCTTTTTCTCTTCTTAAAGATAGGGACAATATTAATAATCTCCAATCTTCTGGCACTTTACACATTCTCCATGATTTCTCAAAGATGATAGATAGTGGTTCTGAGAATTTTTCTGTCAGCTCTTTATTATGCTAGGATGCTGTTTATCAGGTCCTAGAAATCTGAACTCAAATTACTGAGATGTATGTTGACTATTTATCTATCAACCTCAAGCTGCAATCCTTTCCCTTCAAGTCCATACTTCAGCTTTGTCAGGGAGAATATTGACCTTTCTTTTGAAAGAAAACTAAGCCAAAGTAGGAATTGAGCACTTCCGCCTTTTCTTTTTCATCTATTACCATTTTGCCATCCTCACTGAGTAGCTGAACCACCATTCCTTTTCACATCCTCTTTTGCTTTACATATACTTAACTTCAAATATGTGAAGCCTTGTTTGTTGCTTTTAGAATCCCTCCTCAACCTCGGTTCATTCTCAGCTTTAGCTTTCCTGACACCATCCCTGCAATTCCATGCTACCTGCCTCTACTTTCCCTTTGTAGCCTGTCCTTCCTTCCATTTCCTATTATGTATCCTTCTTTTGTTTTTGGATCACCACTAAGCCTTTTGTGATGGCACACCAGCTTCTTCTGTTGCCTTCTACATTTTTTTTTCTTTTTGGTTGGAATAGTTTGTAATTATACATTTAGAATATCCTTTCTTAAAAATTCCTACTAATCTTGGACTGCTTTTCTTGTTAGACCCCCTTGCCATAGGACCTTATTTATCATTGTTCTGAGTTAATTAAATAAGCTTTCCTAATATCCACAGTTCACACTTAGCTACACTTAGCTTTTGATTTCTTTAGATTAGAGAATTTAAGTATAACAGAGCTCCTGTAACTGTAATTTTATCCACTTAGTCATCCCTATTAGTTAAACTCAGGACAAGGATAGCCAATCCTCTAGTTCCTTCCTCTACTTTTGGAGGAAGAAGTTACCAGCATCACTTCAGGAAGGAGGGATCATGTTTGTCAGAATTGATTTCCAAATAGATATTAGGAAAATTGAAGTACCCTATTACTACTACAGCATGCCTTATTGAAACATTGATAATTTGTTTTTCCAAAATATTAATTCTTGTCTTCTTGACAGAGTGGTTGATGGTAGACTCTGATCATCATGTTCCTTTTAGTTTTGGTTCAATTTATTTTAATTTAGATGCTCTCAGTGAGGCTTAGCTTGTTGTTTGGTATTTCTGTGCAGAGATATGTAATTTTACCATATAACATGACTACACCTCCCTTTCCATTCCTTCTGTTCTTGAACAAATTGATAAATTCCAGTAATGGGAACCAACGTACCCATCCTATCAAAGCTTAGTCACCCTCTCATATTAAAAGTTCAAGTTCATGCTATTTCCAGTACTCTGTATATAGACATTGAAGACCAGGTGCTTTATTGTCTAGCTCTTTTGCTATTTTTTAATATTGTATACTATTAGAGCTACTCTCTCTACTGGGGTGCATAGGCCTTTGTCCGCTGTTACCCCCAAGTTTACTTTTCCCTGCCCTGTAGGATTCAGCTTAAAGCTCTCTTCATGAACTTCTTTATGTGGTGGCCAAACATATTCTTCACAGTCCTTGTGTAAGGTGCAATCCATGCTTTTCCAAAAGTCCATGGTCCAGGAAGTGTAGCCTGTGATCCTAGAATCCAAAGTTCTTATGTTAACACTAAATTCCTAGTCAAGAATTTACATCTAGTGTTTTTCTTTCCTTTTTCCTTTCCTTTCCAAGTACTGGAAGGATAGATAAGAAACCTAACTGGGCTCCAGAGTTCTTGAATTCTCTTCCCAAAGTTTCATTCTGATGTGCTTTCTTCAAAGCTCTGCTGAGCAGTGTCATTTCTTCTCAAACTGATGGAAAGGAAGGACTGTATGTCTGCAGGCTTTATAAGCATTGGAACCCCATAGTCATCTCCAATTCATCCTCCAAGAAGACAGCATACCTGCTGAGTGATTGGGTCTTTGCAGCATACAAGAGCTTCCATCCCATGCAGCAGGGAATGTCCTACAACTATTACTCTCCTCTCTCTCTCTCTCTCTCTCTCTCTCTCTCTCTCTCTCTCTCTCTTTGGTTGAAGGTCTTGGTTTCATTTCTCTGCCTGACAGATGATCAGCCTCTGGCTTGCTTTCACATGGAATATGTTGTAGTTCTTCCTCTTCAGGCTGCTATCCAGTCTCATCTTCAAGTGCATGAAAACAGTTCCTTGGTTCCACTACGTCCGCTGGTGCAGAGTATCTTATAGTTCTTCTGCTCCTATCACTCTTTCCCAGGGAGTTTTCTCTACTTCATTTCCCACTGCACCAGGATTCTTCTTTTCTGCTTCAGCTTGTGGCTGTTCTTCCATTCCTGTACTTCACTTTGCTGTTGCAGTTCACCACTCTGTCTAAGAACTCTTCATCTCTTATTCCCTTGAGGGTACTGATCCAGTACTTTCACTTTTCTTCCAAAAGGGCAGCCAACTTGCACTTATTATGCAAATAGTCTGTGTTGATCTCAGGCAAGAAAAGAAACATTGCACAGACCTTACAGGTCACCACCACTACAGTAATCTTCTATCCATAGTCTCTACTCCTTTTTTTGATTCTACCTTACTGCTTGTACAAAAATGGCTGTTGCTTTGTCCTGACTTCCCTGAAGCTTGACAGCAGACTCCTACTAATGAGTAAGTATTACAAGAAAACTAAGTTATGGACTTCTCCCTTTACTTCCCTGCTGAATTCCACTGCCAAACTCTTTGTTAGTTCACCCTATTCATTCACAATTATCGCTGTCTCTTTCTGGGAGTTTGCTTGCTAGTATAGCCCCTAGACCAGCTGTGGCAGGTTCCTTTGCTCTGTTCTGCTAAGCCAGGAATCAGGAAAAGGAATGACTCTCTCCACCACACAGCTGCTGAGTCAGGCCACCGCCTTCACTCCCAGATCTCAGGTCACATTCTTCAGGTGCAGTTCTCAGGAGCACATGGTGTGCATGTGGCCTTTAATCGGTCCCTAGAATTACTCTATGCCACTCTGTGCCTTTGCCTCCTCTTCCATTACAACTCTGCTGCCAAATTCATGTTAGTGTTCCCTGCCCCTGCCCCTTGTTCTGATTGCTTGCTTCCTAGGAGCTTGCTTGCTCATATAGCCCCTTAATCAACTGGGGCAGCTTCCTCTGTTTTGCTCAGCTAGGAAACAGAAAGTAAACAGGGCACACCTGTTTACCTTTTGTGAAAAGAGTATTCATTATGCAATTTGTTGACTTGATTTGGAGTACCTATCCAGCCTCTCAGTTTCTTGAAGGTTGCTTGACCTCTGTGACTGGCCAGGCCCCATTGGAGTAATTATGTGACTAGTCACACTCTCCACAGGAGCCATTTTAGGGTGGTGCTCACAGCAATTTTTCAAATTTCCACATGTACCCTCAAGCCAAAAACACTGAGGTCCCTGCTATAAAGAATAATATATACATATGTGGGAACAAATGAAGAGGGCCTTAGCTTTAACTTCCTACTCCTCAAAGCATGGCAAATGAGATGTGAAAGAGCATGCTAAACACAATCAAATTATAAAGAAAAAACTGGAAAAACTGAGTAATTTTACTGACTCTATTTTTAGACTCTGTTTTCTGTCACTGAAGTATTTCAGGATGAAACTCATTGTTTTACTTTGAGAATAGTTATAGCTTCAGAGATCTGTTCTCTGAATACTAATTATGCTTGCATTTGCTGCTAGAAAACAAAATTCAATCCAGATATCTTTTCCATAAACAATGTGAGCTGTTTATAGTACGATAGAACACATGGATGTAAAGCAGCTGTATTTTTTCTGAACAGTCTATCAACATCTTACAAACAATCTATACATTCAAATGTCAGTACTACAATAATACAACTAATTATGCCATATACCTGTCAAAGGAGTGAAACTGCATTGGAAGTATAGGCTGAGCTTCTCTCTTCAGTGCAGGATCAGGATATGGAATAGGATCAGGTCCACATTCTGCAATTTCAACAGGGGCTGCCACCAAACTTTTCAATATTTCCTTGACATTGATGCCCTTGCTTTGGCTGATGCTTGATATTGAGGATGCAGGTTTAAGAACTTCACTGGGACTTTCTGTTAAACTTTCCTGAGACTTCTTCACCTCAGATGACAAAGTAGATAACAGTTCACTCATTGCATCAGGACCTGTGCTTGTTTCTAAATCTGTCCCATTCAAGATACTGGGGATTTGTTCTTCTCCAATTCCAGAATCAGTATGAGGAATGGAGCTTTCCAACTGAATATCTTCAACTGGTGTTGGAGTTTCTTTTTCTTTGATACTATCAGGAAATGCAGCAGGGGTTTCTGCAACAGAAAAATTGTAGAAATATTTAAGGTTGCAATTAATTAAAATTCTATCAACAATATTTTACTAGTAAGGATGAAGACTCAAAATTTTGTAGAAGCACAGTGCAGGTCTCTTTCCAAGTACTTGTGAAGCAAACAGTGATCCATCCATCTCCTAGAATCCCATGGCAACCATTACTCATATGCATTTTCAGGCATAATTCACTCTGCAATGCCTGAAATGTACGTTTGCCTGTGTTGTCTTGCTTCAGAGTTGTCTGTTTGGGCACTTTCGAGATCATGAAACCTGATCAACTGATTATAGAGTATGAACAACTATTTTTACATGTATATAACTGACTCTGCCTTAGAAACTCCATCAGTGGTTCAAAAGCAAAACAAAAACCATTTCAGCCTAGTGCACTAGCCATATATATTGGTTGCAGGACACATGCAAAATATGTTCGGGTAGCATCATTTGACAGACCAAGTATGAAGGGTATGGTTATGATTCACATGTAAAGAGGTTTGCAGACCATCTGCAGTAGATGTCCCTGCTGGCTGGAGATGAGGATTGTAGCCAAGCACACTTGAAGTGTGCAATGTAGAGAAAAGCTGCCATAGAAAGTCAAGTACAGTACATGTTGCATCTTCCAGCATTCTTCATCCGTCACAATTTGGATGGTTGGAAGTCTGAGGATTCTAGCTAAGTTATTCAGTTCCTTCACCTGAACACTGCCCCACTTTACCGACACTACAGTGTCTTAGTGGAGCTGAACTTAGTGGAATTCAGGAACCAAGCTAATATTTCCCTTCATAACTAGAATCTGTTCATTCCATCACAACAGTGACTAGTACCCAAATTTAGAAGTCATCCAGAAATTGGAGTCAGGTTCCACAGTGAGAAGCCCTAAACAACCTAAGAGATTGCCTGTGCCTAGTTTTTCAAGTAACAGAAAGATGAAGTGAGGGTGGGATCTCATTTTGGTCTAACCAACCCACAGAATAGTAGAATAAATATAAACTTATTTTGCCACTTTTCTCCGAAAAAAAAGCAGGAAGTGTTGAGTTGTTCCTGCAAAGCTGCTAATTTTCAGCTTTGCATTTCATGAAAACTAGCAGTTTCTCCATAAGAGGTATGGAGATATCTCCATGGAGGTATGAAGGTAGCAGGAGGTATCACACAATTGATATATCAACTCAAGGGGTAGACACCTTGTTTGAGATAGGGTTCACTTATTAATTTAATAAATAAATTAGATAAAGTTAATAGTTTTATAGAACTTAATTTTTAGTTGCTATGGATTGTGTATTTTGATCTTCAGTAGTCCAGAATTGCTGCTGGTGTGGACTGATCAAGATTCTTTGATTTTTCTGTGCCTTCATCCTTATTGCTGGAAATACCAAAGTGGAAGCTATATTCAAATCTCTCTGTGAGTGGGCTTACTTTGGTCTTATTCTTGAATCTGTGTTTTGACTCTTTGATTTGGTAGGCTGAGATTCGCATAATGTGAAGATATGAACACACAGTTTCAAGGTGGGTTAAATCTCTCTCCATGTGGTCATATCTAGATTTTCAGCTAGAATCCTTAACTATGATGATCTGGGATGGTTTCTGTCAGGAATAATTTAAGCCCATTGCCCTGTACTCAGAACCATAGAATTGCAATGGAAAAATCAAGTTGTGCAATTTCTGGCACAGTTCTTAGCTTTTGAGTGTTCTTTGAACTAAGTAATGAGCAGTATGATTGCTTACCTGTAACTGTCAGTCTTCAAGTGGTCATCTGTGTATTCATACATATGGATGCTGCGCCTGTGCCATGCCTCGATTCAGGAAGATTCTCCTAGGCAAACCTAGCATTTTTGGCAGGAGCCACACCCCCTTCCCCTTAGTATAAATAGGCGGAGCTTCTACCATTTGTCAGTCCATCTGGAGACTGACATTTTGCCTTCCAGTTCATACTGTTCTTTTTTGGAAAAAAGCACAAGTCCAAAGCCACTGACACCAACATGGGGCCAGAAGGTGGGTTCTGTGAATGCACAGATAGCCACTCCAAGAATGACAGTTACAGGAAAGCAACCTTACTTTCTTCTTTGTGCTCTCTGTGCATCATACATATTGGTGATTACTGAGCTTCCTAAAGCAGGAGGTGGGAGGTGTTGTCCCTGAAGGATGGAGGAGAGAACTGCTCAGTTGCAGGAGTAGTCTTGTCTTGCTTCCAGGGTGGAGCTGGTAGTGGTATACAAAAGTTGACAGTATAGACAGGCTGCTTCGCACAGCTTATGTAGAGGTATGTCCACATGTAGTGCAATTGATGTTGACACAGACCTGGTGGGATGGGCTTTTGGTTGTAGCATACCAACTCAACAGTTGGTAGCTTGATAGTCCCTACACTCCAGAGGGCCAAATGCTGTGGGCCAATCAGTTTGCCTCTGGAGCAGTCCATGTATTTAATAAATAGCCTTTTGGTTTGGCAGATTGAGTCTGTATGGGAACTGTAAAAAGCTAGCACTCTCCACACATCCAGCGTGTGCAACACCCGTTTGATCGGTGTTGATGAGACAGGAAGGAAGCTGTAAGTTTTCTTGGTTCAAATGAAAGGATGAAGAGACCTTGGGTAGAAAAAAACCAGGGTCTAGCCATAGGACCACCTTCTCCTTACAGAAAGTAAGATATTCTATCCTTAGTGCATACAATTCACTCACTCTCCAGGCCAAGGTGATGGCCACCAAAAAGGAGACTTTCCATGAGAGGAGATGGAGATCAATTCTTGCGAGTGGTTTGAAGGGAGGTTTCTTTAGGGTTTGCAGCACCACAGGCTCCAACTGGGAACTAGTGATGGAATAGGGAAAGTAAGACTGTGAAGTCCTTTCATAAACCTCTGTGCAGGGGAGAGAAGATAACAGCAGACCTATCAATTGGGCATTTCAGCTAGGAGATAACAAAGAGGTAGACCTTGACAGAAGTCAGCTTGAGACCTTTCAGATGTAGGGAGTGGAGTAAATCTAAAACTCTATGTACTGGTGCCGTCATTGGATTGAAGGCATTTTCTGTCATGTAATTCTTGGACTTGTTCCATTTGATGGAATAGGAATGTCTGGTGTAGGGATGTAGTGCTGCTTGTAAAATAATTTGTAGTTGTTGGTCTAAACCTGCAGTTGTTGCCACTAGGTGATTAAGGAAGCTGTTAGATGGAGCCTCTGGACATTGGGGTTTAGAATTTCCCCCCATTCTTGTGTGATCGGGTGTGGTATGCTTGATAGGTGTATGAATGTCCGGCTTGAGAGATGCAGAAGGGATGGAAACCAAGGCTGTGTTATCAGGATGCAAGACATTCCCTCCACCTGTATTTTGGCTTTGTAATGAGAGAGAATGATGTAAAGGCATAAAATAGAGTGCCTTTCCAAGGCAGAACTGCACCCCCCCATAGAGCTCCGTCCCACGCTGGCTTAGGAGCAATAAGTGTTGCATGCTGTGTTGTTGTCCATTGAGAAGAGGTCGGTGGTTGGTGAACCCCACTCCAAAGAGATGTGGCTCCTCAACTCTTCAATCAGTTGCTATTCGTGTTGTTGGAACAGGGTCCACCTGAGAACATTTGCTACTATATTCCTTGTGCCTCCCACATCAATGGCAGTCATGGATATTTTGTGGCGAATACACCAGTCCCATATTCAAATGGTCCGACTAGTTAGGGAAGCAGACCTCATGCCACCTTGTTTGTTCATATAATAAATGGCTGTTGTCTGAAGCAAACTGAATATGCTTCCCGAGAAGCACGTTTTGTAGCAAGATCAGTGCCTTGTGGATTGCAAGGAGCGCTAGGTGATTTATAAGCCTCTTGCAATCTGATCCAGTCCATAACCTTTGTGTCTGGTACAGTCTACAGTGAGTGCCCCAACTGGTAAGAAACACATCTGTGATTACTGTTAGTTCCAGTGGTATAAAAGATAGCCGATGCCCCAGGTTGGACTCATCCATCCACCAGGAAAGGCTTAGTCTTACACAAGGGGAAGTGTGAGGACTTTCCTTGGAGAGTAGTGGTCAGGACGGTATGCCTTAGTAAACCACAACTGGAGTGGTCTCATGCATAGTCTTGTGTATTGGACCTCTGCCATAGTCAAAGCAATATGGCCTAGTAATTGTTGGATCTTCTGGATGGTAGATATTGGTTTGGAGCACAGCTGACGGACTAATGATGTTAGCTTTTCTACCAGGTTGGGGGTAGGTAGGCTTGAGCTGACAGAGCGTCCAGACGGGTTCCAATGTACACGATTGGCTGTGAGGAAACAAGCATGGATTCTCATCATTCACGTATAACCCAAGTTGTTCCAAGAGGTTGCATGTCCTTGAAATGGCTCTTAAGAATTCACTTTTAGAGAGAGCAACTAGCAACCAGTCATCTAAATAAGGGTAGACCAGTACCCTTTGGAGTCTCAGATGGGCACAAACCACAGTCATACATTTAGTAAAGACCCTTGCTGTTGCAGACAGACTGAATGGTAGTTCTTTGAATTCATATGTGTCAGGACCAATCTGAAAGCACAGAAAGTGAGCAGAGTCCAGATGGATGCTTATATGGAAATATGCATTCTTCAGATCTATGGATGAAAACCAGTGCCGTATTTACAGTAAGGTTTGTAGAGAGACCATACCCCCGCCCCCCCAAGTAATGAAATGGTTCAGTCCATGCAGGTCTAAAAGTGGACATTGACTGCCATCTTTTTTGGGGGGGGGGGGGAATGGTAAAGTACCCTGGATAGAAACTGTGCTCTACTTTGGACTGGTTAACCAAGCAGATTGCCCCTTTAGCTAATAAGGCATCAACTTCCTCTGATAGGGCTGGAGAGGGAGGAGTTATCCAGACCGTCCCAAAAGTTGGCAAGGTCTCAAAATTGATTTTGTATCCGTATTGTACTATGGATAGTATCCATTAATCTGATGTGATGGTTTCCCAAAGTGGAAGATGGTAATTTAACAAACACTGAATGGAAATGGTAGAGTATAGGAGGGACTGGTT